CGACCACGCCGCACCCGACCCCGCGCCGTGAACAAATCACGCCATGAGATGTTTTTTGGCCGTGGTCGGCCTCTAAGGGGCCCTTGCCCCGCCCGGGAGCCGCCGAAGGACGCGTCGGAACGCCAGCAGTCCCCGAGGACGGTCGAGACCTCCAGAGCCCGCGCTGTGGGAGGGGAGGGAAGCGAGGCGTCGGGGGCCCGGGGACGAGGACGACGAGGACGAGGAGCAAAAACAAGGAGGAGGAACCAAGGGAGACCGAGGACATGTGTACATATATATATATATATATATATATTTGGTTGCTTGGTCGGACGAGGGCCCCCCGTGGGTGGACAGTGTCCTGCAGGCGGGCCTATAAGGCCCCAGGCCTTCGTGCGGCCGCTTGGCGGCCGGGGGGGCCCTGCTCTCAAGACCTCCGCCCCTGCGGAGTGGCCCGGCCGCGCCCCTCGCAACAGCAGCCGAAGGTCTGCCGACGCCCGCCTGTGAGGGCGGGCCAGGCTCCTCCGCCAGACCGCGGAGGACTCCAGTCTCGCAGACCGAGCGCGACCCAGAAATGGAACAAGAGAAGCATGGGAACCTGGCCGTGGGCGAGGCGGCATGGCTCGGGCGGAACACCCTGTCCGCCGCACGCGCGCCAGGCGGAAGGGGGAACGAATTCATCCGAGCTCTTGGCCCGGACAGGGACGAACTGGGAGGTCAGCCACATGGACCCCTCTCGGCGGGATCCCCGCGGCTCTCCTGACAGTGGCGGCGCGAGAATCCAACGCCCTCCTTCCCTCCCCCCCCCGACCCGATGGCCGCACGACATCGTGCGCTGTCCTGGCAACCAAGAGATCGAACTCGCCTGCTCGACAAAAGTTCGGTTTGGGCGGCGCGCGCAAGACTCTGCAGGGGCCACGAGGGCCACAACGAGCACACTCCTCGGGCACCGCCGCCTGCCCCCGCCGGTCTCTGCTCGCGAGGCTTTCCCCCTCGCGAACCTTACCGACTCCTCCTCCTCCTCCTCCTCCCCCTCCTCCTCCTCCTCCGCCTCCTCCTCCCCCTCCTCCCTCAGCTGCTGACCACTCAAACTTGAGGGCGACGGCCTCAGCCTGGCGGTCGTCAATAGCATTGGCTTGCCTCCAGAGCTCTGGGGTGCCTAGAAACCTGGCCCTGTCCTCGGACGCGTGGGAATCCACCGCATGAGCGGTCAGCTGCGCCTCTCTGAGGGCCCCCCGAAGACGCCGCCCGAGGCCCCGATTCATCCGTGGGCGTCCAGATCGGGGTCTGTGGACCCACGCACAACAGAACTAGAAGCTGATGAAGTTCAGAGATCTATCAGAGCTGGCGCATATTCCCACCCAGCTCACTAGCGCCAAGAGCTCAGCACGATTGATCGTCTGCATCGGTCCTGGCAGGCCTCCAGCCAAGCCCGGAACCTCCTGGACTTGGGTCTAGGTCAGACTCGAGCACGCCTCCGCCAGCGCGCAACAACTGCAAGAACAGCGGCGAAGCCTAGGGTCCTGAGAGCAGTGCCCCCAGGACCCGCCCCCGGTCCCCCGCCGCTCCCACCATCTGGCCCGCTGCCTTCAGCATCGCATGGCCGCTTCCGCTCCTGGTGGCCCGCGGATGGCGGGGCGACCTCGGCCCAAGATGACGGCGTGAGCCCGCGCGGCCAAAACGCCGGCCAGGCACTCCATCCGTCGCTCGCACGGGCCCTGAGGACCGCTGTGTCACCACGTTCCTGGCTCATCTCGTTCGCTTCACAAGCCCGCACGCGGCGAAAGTCTGCTCGCGCAGACTGGGCAGGGCGCCGCTGGCAAAAGGCCTCCGACTCCTCGATCACAGCCACTTCAGATATCCCGCCCCCAGACCAGGCCGCGGCCGTGGCCGCCGCAATCAGACAACCGCGGCGCCTGAGGGCCTGCCGCGAGGCCTTACCACCGGCGCATCGAGCACGCATCCACGCCGCCCTCGGCCCCTGCCCCCTGGTTGTGGGCAGCCGCGCGACGCCGCGGCCTGGCCCAGACCGCCAGGATAACCTCTCGCACGACAGATTCACTGTCAACGAAGCGGCGATCAGGGAGCCCCAGTCTCCAAACACTGCCCGCACAGGGGACCACCGCTCTGAGCTCCGCGGGTCATGCGGGAGCCAGTCGCGGTCCAGGAGCTTCGCCAGAATTCCAACCGAGGGCGCCGCGCCACGGGCCAAGGCCCCGCGCAGGAACCCGGGGGGCAGGAGACAGCAAGGCAATCGTTTCCCTGGCACGGCGCAAACGCCCGACCTGGGAAATGCGCTTGACTTTGTGCAACTGCTTGGAGCTCTCAACTCCACTCTAACCGCGCTTGATACGTAGCCTTTGGCAGGGCCCTCGATCAAACCCCAGGTCAGCAAGCCCTGGGTCGGCAACCGCGCTGGATGGCTTGACGCGGACGCGCCCATCGGACTCTCTAGCAATGGCACAGAAGATTTCGCGCGCGAGCTCCAGGGATCTGGCAGCCGCGACCGTCTTTTTCGAGAGGCCAAATCCGATGACCGATGCGCTCGCGCAAAAACTTCAAGCCGCCCCCGCAAGGGCAGGGAAGCTGTCGCGTCGCCGGCCCTTCAGCCCACGCGTGAAAAATCATCGACCCACCGCGCCGAAGAAGCCCCGCGAGGAAAGCGCGGAGGACGCGCTCGCTCTGACGCATCATGAAGGACCGCCCCGGCGTAATGATTCGCAACCCCCTTCGCCTGCGACGATGGGTGCCGCGGGCTCGATCGGCCTGGAAATCCCACCCCGAGTTCTGACGCATCGGGGGGCGATGCCACGCGCCAAGGTCCGCCCCGCGGACGCGGCGGGCAAGTCCAGGGCCAGAGCGGCCTCCAGGGCCGAAGCGGGGCCCAGGGAACCGCAGAACTTGGCGAAGTCCCACAGCAAGCTCTGGTGAGCCACTCCTCAGGCCTCCGCCGTCTCGTCTACAAAGACTCTCAGCATCACGCGCCTATGGTTGTGGATGCCATGACAATGGGCACTCTAACACTCCTACCATTGAATTAAAGATGTGGTTAGCATGTGTAAAACATGTTCTAAACATGTTTCAAACATGTTTTTACATAGTTACAATATAGTTGAAACATCTTTTAGACATCTGGGAATTATTTGGCAGCATGCTTCCTCTCCCCTAATCGACTTCCACAATCCTATGGGCTGAGCTCCCCCTGACGGCCCCGCCACAGCAACCAGCTTTTTGTTTGCGCGCCATGACACCCCGAACGACTTGTGCAGGCGGCGCCAAACGCGCTGGGGAAGGGGCGACGGCGCCGCCGCTCGCTCCAACGTCGGCGGCTTGGGAGTTGCGACTTCCAGGACGAGGAGGAGCTGCCGAGGCCAAGCCTGCAGTGGCTCGCACCCGCCAAAACGACTCCGCAGCCTCGCAGGCCAGCAAGTCCAGGATCGTGCGAACCTCGCCCCGTCGCCTGCCGAATGCCTCGCGCCAGGTTCGCGGCATCTGCCGGGTCCATCTGCTCGTGAGCCCCCCGGTCAATGGGCAGCCCCCTGCACCGTTTTCGCGAAGGCGCCGACGCCGCTTGGCATCGGCAGCTTCTGACCGACGGCCAGCCCACTGCTGCCTCCTGATCCCCACCTCCTCGCGTGCCTCGGCGTCTGCGAGGCCGATCTCCATGGTGGGCGCCGTCGTGTCACTCGTCCACTTGATCAGCTGCACAAGACTTTTGTTTTGGCCGCGCGCTCAATCACCCAGTGGAACGCCACCGCATTCTGACGAACCTCCACTGCGTGGGCTTTGTCGGCCACGTCCGCCACGGCCTAGGCCACGCCGTTGGCCTGCCCGGCTGCCCAGCTGCGTGCCCGACGACAGGGCGCTGGTCCACCCTGCGCCGCGCGTCGGCATCCGCGACCAGCAGGGGTCGGAGGGCATGCCGCGCCCCGTGTCCAGGATGACCTGCAGCGCATCCCTTCCCGCCGCAGCCAGACGAGGCTTCGCTGGCGCACTGGCGCGCATCTGAGAACGCGCCGCCATCGCACCCCGCCGCGCCGCCGAGGGACAGGCCCGACTTACGGCCAGGGCCCGGAGAGGGCGGCGCCTGCCTAGAACCAGGCCCACAGGCCCTCGGCCGACTGCCGAAAGCGTCGATGGGGACTCCGCGCTCCCCTTGCCGCTCCAGCGGGGCCGCCAGCGCCGGCTGTCCGACGTGGCCGGGGAGGAAAAGCCGGTGCACCGCACCAAGCCCCCCACTCGTCATCATCGTCATCATCATCATCATCACCATCATCATCATCATCATCATCATCATCATCATCATCATCATCATCATCATCATCATCATCATCATCATCATCATCATCATCATCATCATCATCATCATCATCATCATCATCATCATCATCATCATCATCATCATCATCATCATCATCATCATCATCATCATCATCATCATCATCATCATCATCATCATCATCGCCCTTCCTCCTCCTACGTCCTCCTTCTCCTCCTTCCCAGCCCCCCCTACCCTGCGAGCTCTGCAGGCCCTCCTGGCTGAGTGAGACGCGGAGGAGGGGGGGGAAAACGACAGCGACGACGACGACCCTGGCGACGATGCCGACGACCACCATGACGACCACGACCACGACCACCACGACCACGGACGACGACGACGGCAACGACGACGACGACGACGACGAAGACGAAGGGGACGACGACGACGACGACGACCTGGATTTCGAGGCCTATCCGGCCAGGGCGACGGAGAGGCCTCCTGGAGGCTTGCCGAGGCCAGGGAGAACCCTCAGAGGCCCTCCCTCGATCCCGGGGATGACAGCGACGTGACGACGAAGACGACGACGACGACGACGACGACGACGACGGCGACGACGACGACGACGACGACGACGACGACGACAACGCGACGACGAAGACGACGACGACGACAACGACGGCGGCGGCGGCGACGATGACGACGACAACGGCGTCGACGACGGCGGCGGCGGCGGCAGCAACGACGACGACGGCGACAATGAGCCCGCCCGCAGCTGCGCGTAGGCGCCCTCGCGCACCCCCACCGCCCTGCCGCTCAGGGCGGCCGCCTCCTCGCAGCACTCGATGGCCTGGAGGCGACGCTGCCGCCGCCGTCTGGGGACGACGGCGCCTTCGCGTTTGAAGGTCCGTGGCTACGGAGGGCGCTGGATGAGGAAGCATTGGATAAGGAACTCCGGGTCGAGAGGCTGGTGGAACTTCAATCGTGGACTGGCCTTAGGTCGGGCGTGTCCCCCTACAGGCGCATATTGGACAATTAAAAAATAGTCAAACACAAAGAATACAAACATGAATGTATAAATCGTCCCCAGACTATTTGTTTATTATTTTTGAATATTCCTCCTGTAGAGGGACGTGCCCGACTAAGACTGGCCACGGGTATCACTGCCGCCCCCAGCTGATCAGGACCCCCCCAGGGCCTGAAGCCTCCTGGGCACGCTGTTAAACCAGCGCCCCCACCGCAGTGTGAAGCAACGGGCCTTGGGAGGAAAGCGGGTCCTGGAGGTGCTTCCCCCGCTCCCCGGGCCCTGGAGCCCTCCACGGGCCCTGGGAGCGCAGTGACAAAACTCAGGAGGAAGATGCTGACCCCGAGGACAAGCCCCCGCGTGGCTGGGGGACCAGGGTGGGCGACAAGGGGGAAGAATATTAGCAAAGGGGGGCCTGGCGAAAAGTCCCCCAGGAGGACCCAATGGGCGCCCAAAAGGTTCCCAGGAAGCCTCCAAAAGGTCCCCAGGAGGCCCCAAGAGGCCCAACAGAGGCCCAACAGAGGCCCCAGAGACGCCCCAAAACGACCCTCGAGCGGCCTCCCACGAGATCCCAACACTGCTCTGCTTGGGGTTCAGCGGAATGACATTCGCGTCTGGACTAGCAACGTGAACCAGAAAACAAACGGCACCACCCCACCTACGGCCCCACGGGCCGTAGCGTGCGCCAGGACGTCTGGCGTGGGTTTTTGCATGGTATACGCTACTGTCAACCCGTGCAGTAAGGATGCGCGGTAAGGATGCAAGGGCCTTGGACGCCCAATTCGGAGCTCTTCGAGCGGGGCGCGGCCAACGAACGTGGCGAAGGATGGACCGATGGGGCGAGGATGCAAGGGTAGGTACCGTTGGGAAGGCTGCCCATCCTTGTTATGCGGGTTGACTGCACGGCCCCCGATGGGCCGTGGCGCAACATGAGGGCCGCAGGTGGGGTGGTGCAGTTTGTTCTTTGGCCGACACAGGGGGCCGTGGCGAAGCACCTACCGTTAAATCGGGCCTGTCCCCCTACAGGAAATTTTCGACGAACAATAAAACAAATCTCCCGGCAAAGCAACCTAACAGCGATGTGTCGGAGCATATCTGGAAACATTGCCTGTGGTATTCATGTAAGAGCGCTGTTGTAGAATTCTGGTGTTCTCGCAGCCGCGTTCGGATTCGCAGTGGCAGTCGCAGTGGCAACATCAGCGGCAGTCGCAATGGCACTGCCAGTAGTTGCAGTAGCAATAATTAGCTGCACTAGCAGCAGCAACAGCAGCAGCAGCAGCAGTAATAGTAACACTGGTAGTAACAGTAGAAGTAGTAGTGATGGTACTAATGGTGACAGTGAAGTAGTAGTTGTAGTGTGTGGAGTGAACGTGTAGGAGTGATGGGAGCAGTGGTAGTAGCAGTAGAAACACTGATTTCGATAACGGCATCCCCAAATGAGATCTTCGTATAAATGCATTGAGGTCTAAACAAGACACTGCTATCAACGGATGTAGGTCCAAACGAGACACTGCTATCAACGGGTTGGGCCTCAGACGAGACACTTGCATCAATGAGTGTAGCTCCAAAACAGGAGCCTCCCTCGTCCTGCTCCTCCTGCTCCTCCTGCTCCTCCTACTACTGCTACTACAAGTATTAGATTTTGGCGGAAACGTCCAGTGCACGATGACGCCTGGGTCCGCCGTCTTGCCCTGCACGATGACGAACAGAACAAACCGGCAATCGGGTGGCGAGAGATATGACGGGGACATCCAATAAGCAAAATGTGGCCCGAAGAACACGAAGTGGCCTACAGTTGGCTCCGGGCATTCGAAATGTAGCCCGGGAGTGGAGATCTGGGAAGTCGAAGAGCACGACGAAGTGGCCTACAATTGGCTCCGAGCATCAAACATGTGGCCCGGGAATGAAGTTCTGGGAAATCGAAAAGCACGAAGTGGCCTACCGTTGGCTCCGGGCATCCAAAATGTCGCCGGGGAATGGAGTTCTGGGAAGTCGAAGAGCACGAAGTGGCCTACAATTGGCCCCGAGCATCCAAAATGTGGCCCGGGAATGAAGTTCTGGGAAGTCGAAGAGCACGAAGTGGCCTACAGTTGGCCCCGAACATCCAACATGTGGCCCGGGAATGGAGTTCTGGGAAGTCGTAGAGCACGAAGTGGCCTACAGTTGGCTTCGGGCATTCAAAATGTGGCCCGGGAATGGAGTTCTGGGAGGTCGAAGAGCACGAAGTGTGCGACTGTTTGCTTAAAACGAGCCCGGCCCTGAGCCCGGCCTTCGCTGTCCGAATGCCGCCCAGACCATCCTTCTGAATCATCAGATGCTTTCTTTCGACACCACTAGAAACCTATCAGTCATCGCTGTTAGGTAAATGCAACAAAAATAACCAAACAATAATCCCAAAATGATATTGGGACGTTTTTTTCACTATTTGTTGACCTTATTGGGGCATTTTTGGGGTAGTTTTCATCTTTCGTCGAAAATGAATCCCCCTGTAGGGGGGCACGCCCGACATAACGCTGCCGAAGCTGGCATGCGCGGCGCCTCCCGGCCCCCCGCCCCGCGGCGCTCGCGGCACGTCGGGGGAGAGGGCGCCCGGCGGCGGGGCCGGCGCGAGCTGGCTGGCAGCAGACCAGGGATCGACCTGAGCAGCGTTGTTCCCTGTCGTTTTGTTTTCGTTCAGAAAGACAGACATCCTCCTCCTGCTCCTCTTCCTCCTCTTCCTCCTCCTCCTCCTCCTCCTCCTCCTCCTCCTCCTCCTCCTCCTCCTCCTCCTCCTCCCCCTCCCCCTCCTCCTCCTCCTCCTCCTCGTCCTCCTCCTCCTCCTCCTCCTCCTCCTCCTCCTCCCCCTCCTCCTCCTCCTCCTCTCCTCCTCCTCCTCCTCCTCCTCCTCCTCCTCCTCCTCCTTCCCCCCCTTCCTCCCCCTCCTCCTCCCCCTCCTCTGTCCGCTTTGGCTTGAAAGAAAGACATCGAAGCGAAGACGGCCCCCGGAACCGCCAGAGCACCGGCAGCAGAGTCCGCCCACCCCTCTGTTCCAATCCCTCCATCTCGCCCGACCAGGCCTTCGCCGCACTCGATGCCCTGGAGGCGTGGCTGTCGTCGGACGACGACGACGACAATGTCTTCGGCTCGGAGATCGTTGGGCGTTTCTGGAGGCTCTCGTCGCCACGGCCAGACGCAGCTCGGAGGAGGAGGAGGAGGAGAAGGGAGGAGGGGGAGGGGAAGGACGAGAAGGGCCAGGACGAGTTGAATGCCAGCCGAGAGCTTTTTGTTGGGGGGCGGCAGCATTAATGAAGGGAAACGATTATAAAACCAAAAAAAATTCTGGGGCGGACGATTAAACAAATGTTTCGCGGGCCTCCTCGCCCCCGCAATAGCGGGGGGGCAGGGCAGGCAGACGGGGGTCTGACAATTCCGGGTTGCCTGGAAAGCCAGGGGGGGGGTCACGGGGTGGCGATCCAGAGCGCGGGGGCCAGGGGGGTGGACGGAGTGATTTTTCAGGGCGAGCTCGTCCTCCTCCTCCTCCTCCGCCTCCTCCTCGTCCTCCTCCCCTTCCTCCTCCTCCTCCTCCTCCTCCTCCTCCCTCCTCCTCCTCCTCCTCCTCCTCCTCCTCCTCCTCCTCCTCCTCCTCCTTCTCTCTTCCTCCTCCTCCTCCTCGTCCTCCTCCTCCTTTTCCTCCTTCTCCTCCTCCTCCTCCTCCCCCTCTCCTCCTCCTCCCTCCTCCTCGTCCTCCTCCTCCTCGTCCTTCTCCTCCTCGTCCTCCTCCTCCTCCTTTTTCTCCGCTTCCTCCTCCTCGTTCTCCTCCTGTTCGTCCTCCTCTCCCCCCCCCCCGTCCGCAAGGACGAGGGCGGCCCTCTCGCTGTCTCGCCTCCCTTTCCTCCTCGTCGCCGCGCCGCGGCCGCGGGTGATCAAGCGAGCGAAGGAGGACGAATAGAAAATCAGTTCCCCCAAAGGGGCAAAAGCAAACGCCGGGGGGCGGACGATTAAAAAACAGTTTCCGGCGGCTGAATTTTATTAGTCCGCCCCACTCAATCATTTTGGGGGGTCCGGGGGGGGGCGATGTTTTTAATCGTTTCCCTCCATTAAAGACCCTCTGAGGTTAAGAACATTTCGAGGTCGTCGTCGTCGCCGTCGTCGCCTGCGTCGTCGTCGTCGTCGTCGTCGTTGTCGTCGTCGTCGTCGTCGTCTTCGTCGTCGTCGTCGTCGTCTTCGTCGTCGTCATCGTCGCCGCCGACGCCGCCGTCGCCGTCAGTTTGGCGGGCCGGCGTCGCACCGTCGTTGTCGGCATCGGCGTCGGCGGGTGTGGTGCCATCGTCGTCGTGGTTGTCGCCGTCGGCGCCGCCGTCGTCGACGACGTCGTCGCCGTCGCCACAGGGGTTGGAGTGGATCAGGGAGGGTAGGAGGAAAAGGAGGGGGATGGGTGGAGGCGACGGTGGGGGGGGGAGGAGTATTGAGGAAGGGAGGAGACCGGAAGGAGGAAAGGGGATGAGAAGGGGGAGGGAGGAGCAGGACGAGGAGGGCGAGGCGGGAGAGGGAGGAGGAGCAGGGCGCGGAGAACAGGGGGAGAGGGATGAGTGTGTTGGCGGAGCTGCAGCCAAGCGTCAGCAACCACCCACGCCCGTAGCGCAATCCTGGCAGCACCGATAGGACACGTGTGGCTGAAGCATCTGCGAGATGAGAGCCTGGCAACACTACGCCTTCGGATGCATGTTATATGTGATGCGATAGAACCAACCACTCTGCTACCTGCTGGCTCAAATCTCGCAACCGTCCGAACCGTAATCGGCATGAACAACAGAACTGGCTAACGAACAGGGGCCGTCGGAAAAACGAGCCGAGCCCAGCAGGCAGCGACGTGCCGGCGCAGCCACATAAAAAAATGAAGCATCGTGCGGTTTCGGGGCGGCCGCGTTCGCATCCGACTGGTCAGCTGCGTCGGCGGAGGCTCCAGCGCCGATCCAAGGGACCCGCGCGCGCGCCGACCTCCGAACGCACAGGCGTGTGATTCTCGGCCCAGTCGACACAAGGCCGCACCCCTCGCGCGACCCCCCGACCAGCCACTTCCGCGCGCCAGGACGGGCTCGCTCTCCAGCGCAGACGACCCGTAGCATGAGGATGCGCGAGAACGACGCAAATGCCTTGGAAGGCCATGTCGGGGCGCGGCCAACGAGGGCGGCCAAGGATGGGCCGAGGAGGCCAGGATGCGAGGGTACCCTGGGGAAGGCTGCCCAGCCGTGCCATGCTGGTCAACTATGTGCGCCGAAGGGGGGGGGGGGGGGGGAAAGGCGGGGGGGCGGGCACCATGACCCGCGGCACGCGCGCGGGCGAGGCGGGGCCGGGAGCGCACCCACCTGGAAGGAGAAGAAGGCAGGGCGGCATGATCTCGGAGGCTCCGTGCGCCAGGCCATGGCACCCGCGCACCCCTCGCCCGCACACCCCCCCCCCCGAAGGCCCGGTGGTGTTCGGGCCACGGCTCGGGCCTCCAGCGGCCGCTCGGGACGAGGAGGGCACCCCCGGCAGGCTCTCGACGCGGCGCAGCTGCGGGAACGCACCCCGAGGCGAGGGCACCCCCGAGCAGCAACGAGAGCCTCCTCCTGGCTTCCCCCCTCGTCGGCGCCCCCTCCCCGACGGCGGGAGACCCCTTCCCAGAGGTCCGACGCCTCGACTGCCTCACTGCGCGGCTCTCGCTGTCTCCCGGCCCTCTTCCCCCGGGGCCGCTGTGTTCCCCCGACTCGTTGCTCGACGGCCCAAAGGGGCCCGGCGAGGACGCCGAAAACGACGAACAACTCCCGCCTCGCGTGTCGATCCGTTCGAGGTCTGGGCTCTCGGGCGCCCCCGCTCTTGCGGCGGCGGCCTGCAGCCAGAACCGGTACTGGCCCTCGGTGAAGAGCCCAGAGGGCTCGCCCTTGGCGCCGTCCTCCGCCCGCCGGACGTGCAGCTCGCTCAGGTTCACGAGCACCTCCCTGCCCAATGGCACGGCCGCGGCCCCACTGGCACGGCCATGCCCCCACGAGCGCCAACCCTTCCCCTTCCAAGCATCGTCGAACCGATCCCCGCCCTCACTGGCACGGCCTTGACCCCACGAGCACCAACCCTTCCTCCTCCAAGCATCGTCGAACCGATCCCCGGCCCTCACTGGCATGGCCGTGGCCCCCCTGCTCGATGCACCGCCCCTAAAGTTATGAGATCACTGGCCGCGGGTTCAGAAGCCCCCCCCAGGATGGGATGGGCCCCAGGGTTCCACAGCCTCCGCCCCCCCCCCCCCCCCTGACTGAATGGGGGGAGCGACGATGCCGACACCGACGGAAGATGATAACGACGACGACGACGACGACGACGACGACGACGACGACGACGAGAACGACGCGGACGCCGACGCTGACTCCGACGGAAGACGCCGACGCCGATGCCGACGACGACGGATGACGATGACGACAAACACGACGACGACGGCGATGACGACGACGACGACGACGGCAGGTACGACGGCGACGACGAGAACGACGACGCGCCGACGCCGATGCCAACACCGACGGAAGACGATGACCACGACAATGACGACGACGACTATGACGACGACGACGACGACAACGAGAACGACGACGATGACGAACCACCCCACAAACAGTGGGGGGCACCAGCACACACCACCACGCCACGCCCACAGGGCCACTACCACAGGGAGGGGAGCGCGCCCCTCTTGACTTTCAAACCTTGTTTTAATGTTGTTGCATCTACACTGGCTCCCCAAGCGACGTGATCCATCAGGGTTTGCCACAGTATCACTGCCCCCATGACCATGCTGAGGCCTGACAAGATCGCGGCCTCGTCCATCAGGCCCACGAGCGTTACGGTCGAGCTGTTCGGCTTCTTCTGCAGGTTCCCCGATTTCCCGGAGGCACCAAGGGAGTCGCTCCAGAAGTACAAGTATTCGGTCACCTCGGCCTTCCGCTTCAGGAGCTCGATGCCAGCCAAGTCGCAGACATCGGCCCCGACATGGCAAGCCGCCCCCTCAATGACGCGGAGAGCCACGCCGTAGATTTCGGCCCCCCACACATCGGGCTTCAGCTTGGGCTGGCTGATAAACTGACGGTGGTGAGCCACAGGAGACGATGAGCGGCGATCGAACCACTTCGCGCACAACTTCACGGTGCGGGGCCCTGGGACCATCCACGACGGATGGGCGGTCTCGACGAGCACCTTGCCGAGGGCCGCCCACGCTCGGAGCGGGCGATCCAGCACGAACACTGCGCCGCGGAGCACCCGTGGATCGCTCACCGACTCCAAGGCCGCGAGCACCATCGGGCCCTGGCCATGAGCGCAACACGACGGAGTGGCCAGCCTGGGGTCGGGGGACAGGGTGGCAGCATCTCCTCGCCGTGCGAACGTCGTGCTCTCGATGGCGACCCCCTGGGAAGCGGCGGCTGCAGCGCCCGCCGCCGCAGCGGCAGGAGCGGTCACGGCCAGCCCGCCGCCGGGGGCATCGCCAGGCGCCAGGGGCGCCACGGCCACCAAGGCACCGCCTGCGCCCGCCGCCGCGCCGGCGGCCCGCGGCGCCATGTGAACCAGGCGGCAAGCAGCTGGCGCAGCGAATGGGGCTCCGAGTTCCACCGCCGACGCCGCCGCCGCCGCCTGCGCGAGCACCGCCGACGCGTAGGTCTCGCCCGCCGTGTCGTAGGCTGTCACCTCGGCAGCCGCAGGCACACGTCGGAAGAAAAACAACTCGGGAGAGTTGATGCCAGCCGGGCGGTCACGATCACTAGATATCCGAATCTCGGCGATGTCCACAACATGAACTGAAGAGTCTTCGTCGTACACGTCCCCGTCTGGAGTCATGATCACGAGCCGCCACGGTTCAGTCTGAATGCCCGCAGACCGTTGTAAGTGACCCAACCCCAGACGTTGATGCCAGCGTTTCTTTTGGAATGTGGCCATCTAGTCCTGGACACCGCACAGACTGTGCTGATGTTAATGACCAGAAACGTACACGTCCGAGAAGACACCCGACCACCGTACCTGATGCGGGGCTGATAATCACCACCACAATGAGCAACCAGCTGTCTCAGCCACCTGGGAAGGATGACGCCTCCGACGAACTCTCGCTCGACGGGTGTTCCTGGATGATTGGCGAAGGCGCCCCAGGATATGCGGGACAGGCGGGGCACGGAAGGGTCGAGGGACAGGTCGGGCACACAGGACAGTGAGGAGCGCTGGGGCACCGAGAGTGGTGCGATAGAGTAACCTCTGATGCGTAGCCGAGAAGCGACGACCAGGCGGCCAGCATGGGGAACGGGCCCGGTGAAACCTTAACAGACGTATGAGTAACGAGTCCTCCAGCTCGATTATGAGCCTACGTGGGCGGCCATCGAAAAACGTCCAGTTGCAGACAACCAACATGTAAACAAGCTGATATCTATATATACACACGTTTATGTGCATAGATATGTATTATCTGTATATATATATATATATGTGTACGCATGCATGACTGTCTGGCTGTCTGGCTGTCTGTCTGTCCTGATAGATGGATGGATGGATGGATGGATGGATGGATGGATGGATGGATGGATGGATGGATGGATGGATGGATGAATGGATGGATCTATCTATGTATGCCATGTTCGGATCGCGACGCAGATCGCGACGGACGGTTTGTTACACTTGTCGGCCTCTGGGGGCCCTCACCCGGCCCTGGCCCCGTCAAAGACGACTCAGGATGAGAAGCTGGCCCCAGGAGAGGGCTCGGACCCAGACCCCCGACGTCATGACTTTTTCACGACGCGACCCCCAAAAGAGGTCTGGACACTTTCCACGGGACCGGTTTTCATTCTGAGTCGCTTTTGGACGGTCCCGAGGCCCGGCGAGGACGCTCAGAGGCCGAACAGAAAGAAAAATCTCCCGATGTGATTTTGTCACAACGCGAGGGGGTGTGGGGCGTGTGTTGGGAGGTGCGGGGGAGGCACGCGACATGCAGCCTTCCCCGACGCCCACGGACGGCAGATGCCCCTCGCAGGCGCCAGACTGCGCTGGCGGCTGCACCAGGGGTGGATGGCCCCGCGGGAGGAGGAGGAGGAGGAGGAGGAGGAGGAGGAGGAGGAGGAGGAGGAGGAGGAGGAGGGGAATCTGTGGCATTACAAAAGTCTGGGCCACGTGGCCCGCTGGGCCTCACCTCGGGTCTCCAGCAGCCGCTCTCGGGACGGCTCGGGCACCCCCGGGAGGAGGCTCGGGGCAACGCGCATCCGCTTGAGCAGGCTCCCCCAGAGGCGGCAGGACGTCCTGAGAGAACTGCGTGTTTTTGCAGCCGGATCTCCCCTCCTCCTCCCCCCTCCTCCTCCTCCTCCTCCTCCCTCCTCCTCCTCCTCCTCCTCCTCCTCCTCCTCCTCCTCCTCCTCCTCCTCCCCTCCCCCTCCTCCTCCTCCCCCTCCTCCTCCTCCTCCCTCCTCCTCCTCCTCCTCCTCCTCCTCCTCCTCCTCCTCCGGCTTCAAAAACACGCAGTTCTCTTGAGGGCCAACGAAGAGCCCCGAAGCCGACAGGGGATCCACGCTTCGGCGGGCCAGGCGTCACCAGGGCAGACGCGGCTTCAGAGGGGCTCTGTGGCCACGACGGGGCGGCCCGAGAGGGTGGAGACGACGGCGACAGCAGTTCCGTTCCGCTCGCGGCGCCCCGGGGTCCTGGCCCCAGGAGGCTGGGGCGCATCGGCGCCAGAAGACCGAGGCAGGGAACATCGAAGCGCGGCCTACCTTAAGGGACTTTGGGGCGCGTTCGCCCTAATCGTAGGGTGTCCTGGTCACCCGAGGAGTACGGGTGTCAGCAGCGTGTCCACATGCTGTCATAATGTTGGCCAAACTTTGACCCGCACACGCGCTAACATGTGGGTATCAACCATTCAAGCTTTGACGAATGCCATTGAAACAGTGACAAGCACAAGCATCTATTCCGCTCCGCCTCGAAATGCGTATTATTTTCAGCTATAGTGTTCCGGCCACCCTAAGCTACCCTATGCTTAGAATGCCTTCGCCCGAAAAGGACCTCCGAACGCGTCTTAGAGCTAAACCCGAGTCTGAGGCGCGATCTGCGAAGTTAACAATCTGAGTCGCTGCGAGCGTAAGGACTCGCACGCCAGATATGGAGACGGAAACAAGGGGACGCCGCCGAACAGCAAATGCTTGCCTTTGAGGAGGAGAAGACCTGAGGGGACTCCGCGTCGCGATCCCCCACAGCCCCACTTGCCCGAAAAAGCGACAGCGGTCGATGTGAAGCAGGCGGCGTTTGCCCCAACGTCTGCAACGATCGGGGGTATCCAAGAGGGGGGGGTCCAAAAAGGGTGTGTGTGTGTGTGTGTGTGTGTGTGTGTGTGTGTGTGTGTGTGTGTGTGTGTGTGTGTGTGTGTGTGTGTGTGTGTGTGTGTGTGTGTGTGTGTGTGTGTGTGTGTGTGTGTGTGTGTGTGTGTGTGTGTGTGTGTGTGTGTGTGTGTGTGTGTGTGTGTGTGTGTGTGTGTGTGTGTGTGTGTGTGTGTGTGTGTGTGTGTGTGTGTGTGTGTGTGTGTGTGTGTGTGTGTGTGTGTGTGTGTGTGTGTGTGTGTGTGTGTGTGTGTGTGTGTGTGCAAATCATGGGCTGAGGCATGTGCGCAGACCAGGGGGGGGCCAGGGAACGTATCGAAATAAGCAGAGGGCCACGAAATCTGAGAAGATATCATGGCCCCCGCGATGATATCCACCCCACCCCCTAGTCGTCACCCCTCTATTTGCCGCCCCCGAACGACACCGACGAAGGCCCTTGATCAATGAGGACCGGGGCCGCTGCGTACGAGGCGGGGGCTCCTTCCAGATCCACCGCCCAGGGAGCCGATTTTTCCTTGCTGGGCCTGTTTTCCACCGCCACCACCATACGCAGGAGAGGGGGAGGGGGTCCTCCTCCTGCTTCTCTTCTTCCTCCTCCTCCCCCTCCTCCTAATCCTCC